AAAACAAGCAGAAGTAAATACCTTGTTTAAGTATACAAAGTAGTGAAAACTTCTTTCAGAAGGTAGTGGAATAACAGCAGCATCAAGATAGTACTTTTCTCAGGGGGTTGGGGCCAACGTGTAGAGTAAAAGGTGTATGCTAGTCATTGGTAATATTGTAGTTTCCTGGTTTGGGTGTTGGGTTTATGGATATTCAATATAATATGCTTTCTAACTTAAATAGGTTATATATATTCTGCACTGGGTAAAATGAGGAGAATTGAAGGTGAGCAAGTGGAGACTGTCACTGTACCCAGTTCTTTACAAAAGGAAGGGAACCACAGTTGGATGTTGAGCCTAGAAAAGCATTGTCCCCACTGTGCAAAAAACAAGTATGATTGTTTGCTTATAAAACGTTCCAGAAGAGAGTAACTGATAACTATAGGAAAGATAAGGTGAAGTCCTGGAGAAGGTGATAAGGGATCCAGATTTCAAAGAAAGGGCCTTTAGGAGCAGAGACTTCCATTGTAACTAGTGGGAAGGTAGTAGGTAGGTACAAGTGTAGGTGAGTCTGTAGGTTTGCTGGTGGGAAGAAAGATGAGTCTCTCAGGTGATTTGTTACTGGATGTTGAGAATTGGTTAGGGTAGGAAAGTTGTGAAATATAAGGAAAGAAGAAAAGGTGGGAAATAGGTTTTCAGAGAACAGGGCCGCAAAGTTACTAGATAAACACTGAATAATTGCTGGTCAATAAGTATTGAGTGCCATTAGAGATTTGTGTTTTTTAATTTAAAGCTAAATTAGTAACATCACACGTGTGTTTTCATTTAGGCTTTTATAGCTGTTCTCGTGACTTTACAAACTTTATGTAAATATTCTTTAAAATTTTTAATAAATACTTTGCCTTTCTATTAATCAATAGTAAATATGTTAGAATAAAGAAGTAATTCTTCAAATTAAGTGGTGGGATTCCGTCTTTGCAACTGGATGATGAAACAGGGTACTCTTGATTTTATAGCTGTAATTCCCTTTTAGGATTTTTTACTCCTTTTTTAAATTTCAGTTACTTTCCTTTGTACTTTACCTCCAAGAGAGGGATTTGAATTCTTAAAAGTTTGCTGTACAATTAGCATTATTAAAAATGAGCTTATACCTAAAGCTTCGCAACTATTTACATGTGTTTTGAGCTATAAAATGAAAGACAGTTAGTTAAATGCCAGTTAATTAGGAATGTTACATATGCTCTCCAGGATTTTATAAAATAAATTTCTTATAAGATAGCTTTATTTTGTGAAAGCCCTGGCCCTTTAAAATGTTGGTATTGACCCAAACATTTGAAATTCTGTGCTGCAAATAATGGATACTCTAATTGCTGATTTATTAGGTAAAGGAAGTTACTCAGATTTGTAAATCAGAATTGGTTAGTGTTTTCAGGGGTTTAATTTGATTTGTCCGCCTTTCATTTTCTTCATTTCTCAGAGAATTCTATGATGCTTGATTATATGATAGCAAATTTAAAACTTTGTAATAAAAATTTCTTTAAAATATTTAGTATTTATTAGTAATTTTGATCATTTTAATATTTCTGTTCATAAAATGTTATCAAATTTAGTGTCTGTTACCAAGAAGTAGGGGTCTTTAATCCTTTTCAGGGAAGGAGCAGCAGTCTATCTGAGGCTTTGAGGCAACAGTGTGAACTGTAAATGGGAGAATAGATGATACTGGTGGACTTCTAAGATTTTCACTGGGATTAGGTTCTGGGGATACATGATGGGGCATTTTCAGCTTTCGGTCATGGTAGCAGCATTCATTTTCTCCAAGCTGTGCTGAAAGCTCCTCAAAAGGGAAGGACAAGTTGGCGGTCTCCCTTCCTAGTTGAAATGCCTGTTACTGTGGTGGTGGTAATGGTAGGCACAGGCTTCCAATCTGCCATATATACTGGATTGCTTTTTTAGAATGAGCCATTTGGAGACATGATTAGATATATTAATCATTAGATATATTAATCATTAGATATTTTTAGTATATATTAATACATAACATTATAATGGCATTTTCATGATTTTCAAATTGCCAAAGTGAAGAAAAACCATTAAAAGTCTAAATTTTTGTGGATATGTTAAATAGGGTGTGTGCATGTGTGAATGTATAATGGAGAGAGAAAGAAAACAGATAATGTCATAAGTATTTTCAAGGTTTTTGAAGCATTTAACTTTGCATTATATGCTTGCAGTTCCTAGGGGATATTTGTTTCTGTTGTTAGCTATACAAAATGAAAGATACTTTGGCCCAGTTGTTCAGAATCTTTTTTTTAAGAGCAAAATTCCTTTTGTTATACTATCAATATAACTCTGGTCCAGCACATTGCTACTCTTGAAGCCTTTGAAAATTTATGTGAAATGGTAGGAATTTATATAAACTTTGTACAACATGTTGGAAGCATATGCCATGTACCACTTATTTTCTATTTCTATAACTGCTGTAATGAATTATTAAAGACAGAATGAAATGTTTAAGCAAAATATATAGCCGAGAATTGGTTTAGAGTAAGAGTATAAATGACATGTTATATTGTTTAGACTCATTATGATGATTTCTTATTTTAGTTTTCTTTTTTGAATTAAAAAACCCATACATTAATATTTTTACACTGAATCATTTTCACCAATATATTTAAGTTTTATATTATATATCTGAAGTAGAGTAACTAAGTCATCTCAACGTCTGTAAAACAGGAGAAAGAAATGTATTTTTTGTAGGAATACATTAGAAATAACAGAAATTTCAGGGTCTATTCCAGGCTTAATAGGTTGTTTTTTTAAGGATTTATTATTACATTTGCAGCATATATAGAGATAGAGTGTCTGTTATGTACCAAGCACTTGTTACATACAGGGGGTGAAGATAAAATGACAAGAGACAACACTGTATATGTCCTTGAAAAACTCCCAGTCTAGGAGGAGACAAGTGAGTCACCAGAAAAGTTACAGTACAGTGTGGTGAGTGCTCTCATAAAGGTGTGAATAAAAATCTGTTGCTTAGGAATTTTTAGTTTGATTTTGTATCTTAAGCCCACTTTGGGTTATATTTTTCATTAGACCTAATTACGCACAAAAGGAAAACATTCACTATCTTTATATATTTGACCTTAAACCTTTAACAAAGTAAGTATATTTTGTTACGCTAATTTCTCTGATTTTACTAGACTGGTTGTACTAGATACTAAATCTTATAAATCTGTCATTCTGAAGTGTAGTTTAGGATCTGAAATTAAAGAAACATCTACGAGTTTAGGTATGTAAAGAGATACTGTTTTCTATGCATTTAAAATGCACTGATTTTTGCCTGGCTGGGCATGGCTCAGTGGTTGAGTGTCAACCTAGGATCCAGGCGATCGGGGTTCGATTCCCGGTCAGGGCACATGCCCGGGTTGCAGGTTCGATCAATGACTCTCTCATCATTGATGTTTCTATCTCTCTCTCTCCCTCTCCTTTCCTCGCTCTGTAATCAATAAAGATATATTTAAAAAAATAAAATAAAATGCATTGATTTTTATATGTGGACATTGTCTGCATTCCTTTCATAAATGTTTTTACCCCAAAAGTTAAATTTGCACATTAAAATGTATAGAACTCCAGTTATAGCTGCTCATAAAGTTTAAATATATAAATTGTTATATAACATCATTTATCTTAAAACCCAAACTAAAATTCAACCTTGCCAAGAATATGCTCCTTTTGTTATACTAAAAGGTATATTTTCTGTTAAATAAAATAAGAAAATCCTACCATATAATGATCTTATTAAAAATTCATAAAGTACCCTTTTTTAGTTCATTGCAGCCATGAAATTCCTTTTGTTTCTTGTGTATTATAATTAATTTTTCTCAATTTGATCTCTGTGCCCATATTTTTGGTGTTTTGACTTTTCCATGAGTGTTTAATGTGCATATTGTGAAATTTAACAATCTGTGGCTTCAAGGCTTTGCTCATACTTAGAATGACAGATTTTTTGTAAAACTTTTCCTCATGATTCTTTTAGTAGTTTCATTGTTTTAGAGGTGGTGGGGGTGCCCATGCAGTTTTAAAAAGTAGATCTGGAATTTATTTAAGGGTAAATAATAATTTAGAGATTTAAACCCCCTCCCTCCAGGTGGATACTCAGTTGTCCCAATAACATTTATTGAATAATCCTTTTCCATGCTGTTCTGAACTCCTTCTCTTCCTTATTTCCCTTGTACCATTGATTTGTCTGTCTCTGTCCCTGTATGCTTATTTTTAGTGGGATAAAGATTGACAATAAACAAATAAGAAAATGATAAGTAAAAGTAAATTCTATAATGAAAATAAGCTGAGTGACATGATAGTCAGTGACTGGAGAGTTACTTAAAATGAGTAGTCAAAGACAGGCCTCTCTGAGGAGGTGACATTTACTCTGATCTGAATATCAAGGAGGAAGTGGCTGTGCAAAAAAATCTGGTGAAAGAACATTTTACATAGAGGAAATGGCCCCAAGGTGGAAATATCTCCATGTGTAGCGTGAATAGTAGGAATATAGTGAGTGGAGGGAAGAGTAGTGAGGTAACAGTTGGAGAAGAGGGCCAAGGAGAAGCATGTATTATGCAGGGATTTGTAGGCCAGGCGGAGGAATTTGGATTTTATTTTAACTGAAGGGAAACTATTCAAGAGCAGTACTTAACAGTTTAAATTGTCTGGAATAAATTTTTCTTAGGTTTTCTCCTGCAAAAAGAGGATATATAGTAGATTAGATAATCTGTATCTCAAAGAAATAGTTTCTTATGTAATTAGAAGCTATTTCTATGTACATGTGACCCTATAACAAATTTACTTCACTTTTAAATAATTTTGCATTTAAAGGAAAAAGATTTTTTTAAATCATAAGTACCAAGAGTTTAGGACTCAAGGAATAAAGATTCTGCTTGTACTGAGTAAAGCTCTTTAAAGAACAATTTTATGAGTGTTTTAAAATAATATTTTTTTCTATCTTAAAATGTTTGTATTAGGGAACAGACGTCCTTGGAAGAGGGAGAAATTCCTTGGTTACAGTACAATGAAGTGAATGAAAGCAGCAGTGATGAAGGAAATGAGCCGGCCAATGAATTTGCACAGCCAGAAGCTTTCATGTTGGATGGCAACAATAACCTTGAGGATGACTCCAGTGTAAGTGAAGACTTAGATGTAGACTGGAGGTATGTAGCACAGTGTTATCACCACGCTTAATTGTTCATTGAATAGAATTTGTTCATGGTTCTAAATTTCGAAAACTGAGTCTCTGATAGCTGAAAAGTATTCTTATTTTCCCATCTTCTACTTCAAAGCCCATTTCAGATGTCACTTCCTACAGGGACTCCTTTCTACTTACTCCAGGTAGTGACCTCTTCCTCCTTTGACATTTATCTCTCTTGAAGCTCACCTTATATTCCAGTGAGTTATACACTCACAATTTGATATTTCCAACTTTTAAATTTATCCTTATATGCTAAATATAGCACTTAGTATAAACCTTTATTTTAAAAAAGGTCCCGAACACTATTTGAAGAATTTTAAAACCTGTGATTGAATCAGAATCATAAGAATATAGTTTTCATTCTTTATATATTTTGTATGGAAAATATAATTGTACCTTCCCAAATATGTTGAAAGTATTAAATTTAGGCTGACAAAGAACAGCTTCAAATAAAAGTAACATGTAAATTAAGTGGATTATGTGTTATGTCTCATGATGGTTAGAATTTAACTGTTTTTGTTTATAAAGTTAGACATATCTTTCAAATGTGTGGTAGCCCTTTGGAAGCAGCTAATTACTGAGATGAAGAAAGGATGTTTGTTCCAGTTGATCCCTTTTTGTTATTTTTCTGGAAAAAATATGGCTTTGTACTACCCATGTTTCCACGTCTGCACAGAAATATTTTTAAGAATTTGTCTTGTTTTTCCAGTTAAAATGTCATTACAGAAAATTTAGAAAAATAAAGATAAGAAAAACTCATTTATATTCCCTGATATCTCCACATATTTTTTTGTTTTTTAGGTCTCCTTTATGCCTTCAGTTTCCCTCTCTGTGTGTGTAGCTACTTCTTTGTGCTTCTCCAAATTGTTCCAGACATGAAACTCAACATTTTTTTGAAATTCTTCTGTTTTCTGTTCTCACTTCCTGGGGTGGTTGGTGGTGGTGGTGAGATTACATTTGCAGAGCAGATTTTTTTGTTTTTTTTATCTTTTTGATTTCAGAGAGGAAGGGAGAGGGAGAGAAAGAGAGATAGAAACATCAGTGATGAGAAAGTCATTGATCGGCTGCCTCCTGCACGCCCCCGACTGGGGATCGAGCCCGCAACCCGGGCATGTGCCCTGACCGGGAATCGAACTGTGATCTCCTGGATCCTAGGTCAATGTTCAACCACTGAGCCACGCCCAGCCAGGCTTGCAGAGCAGATTTTTATTGACCTTTTTGTAGACGTATACAAGTGGAGTTTTATTACAACCACAAAAACAGTCTGTAATTCTATCTTAAACATTCCCACTATCCAGAACCCATTTTCTGGCTTCCCAAACATTATGGAAAATCAGAGGCTTTACCTAGTCCTACTCTTGCTGATTTTGATGCTCCCTTCACTTCCTCCATCTGCTTTCTTACTGAACACATTTATTCTGATGTCTTTTCTCTCCATGTGCGAAGTCATTCATTCCTCAAAGAATTCAGCAGATGACAGAATTATCTATTTAGATCATCTGTGTTTTGGGGAGGCAGTTATGGTTTTATTTTTTTCTATTGCACATTTTTTAAATTTTGTAAAAGTAATTTTTTACAACTCCATTATGTAGACTCTCCATTCTATAGATGCACTAAAATTTAATTGATCATTTCCACATTGAAATAATGCAGTGAAATTCCTGTCTCTTCCCCTATGAAACTGGATCTGACTTCAGGCCATTTCTTTAGGACAGATTCACAGGGGTAACATTACTGAGAGTTGTGATATTTTTTTAAGATCTTGATACATATTTCTAAAAATCTTTCAAAAAGGGTTGTTCCACATAAAAATTCGAAGAAATAATTGAGGTCTTTATTGGGTAAAGTTTAAACTTAAATTTGAGAACTTTTATTTTAGGTTCTTACTTATTGACTGTCTTTTTTAATATGGCTGTTGTGTTAAGATTTTACAGATGTTGCTAATTGTCCCAATATTGGGGGAGCATTGTAGTAGTTTTTGGAGTTTTTTTGCTATAGAAAGCATTTTAGCATTGATTTTCTTGATTTTCATTGACAATCAAGATTTTCTTACATAACGTAGTAAAATTGTCAAAATCAGGAGATTAACACTGATATAGTACTATTATCTAATCTAACAATTTTCTAAAATCCTGCGGCACAGCAAAAAATATATATTTTTTTGCCGATCTGACCAAAAAAAGCAGGTATAATTTTGACTCATTAACACCAGATTGCTATTGTGTTGGCTGTTGTCCTTTTTTTTAATTTGACAACCTAAGGGGAAAGTGGTCAGTGCCCCTAACTAAAGAGTCAGGTATTGCATGTTTTAAAAATTATTGTGGCACACTGGTTGAAAGTCACTGACCTAATCTATAGGGCTTACTCAAACATCTATAGTTGTCCCACTAATCCATTAGAGAGAAATTTATTTCTAGTTCATTCCAGGACCACTCATTGCATTTGTTTACCATGTTTCTTTAGCCTCTTTTAATCTTGAACATTTCTTCAGTCTGTCTTTGTCTTTCATAACCCTGACATTTTTAAAAAGTACAGGCCACTTAATTTGTAAAATGTTTTTTAAGTTAGATTTGTCTGATGGTATGATTAAATTCGAGTTACAGAGTTTTAGAAGGAAGACCATAGAAGTAATGTTTTGTCTTCACAGTTCATATCAGAGGGCACATGATATCAAATTATCCCGTTGCTGGTGATGTTAATTCTGATCACTTGGTTAAGGTGTTTAGGTGCTGTCTTTCAGATTGCTTCACGGTACAGTTGCCATTTTTTTTCATTTACAATTAATAGGTATTGTGTGGGAAGATATTTCAAGACTATATATTCTCAAACTGTCAAACTTCTGTCCACTAGTTTTAGTATCATTAGCGATTCTTGTCTGAAACAGTTACTACCGTGGTGATTGCCAAATGAATGATATTAGAATTTTTAATTTTAGCTGATGATTCTGCAGTGACCAAATTACAACCAGATACCATGCTTTGAGTGTCTAGATTTGTTTAGCCTGGAGAAGAAAATGATTATTGGGAGATAGTTGACTAATCATTTTAAGGAGTTTTCTGTAAAAGAGAAGTGGACACAGTTTTTGATGCTTCAGCAAGCAGAACTAGAGCACTTACTTCACATTAAGTTTCAAACTTTTAATAGGGCTTTCACACCCTGGCATGTGCCACCTTAAAAAGCAGTGTATTTTCCATGTGGAGGGACTGGTTCTGCTGTTCTTGTCCGCCTGCTCTGGTGCCAGCTCTGTGGTAGGCACCTGAGTGCATCTACTCATTTAATTTGTTTTGTAGATGAAGAAACAGAGTAACAGTTAAGTTTTTCACATTATTTTAACTATAACTCAGTTAAATGTGAAGTTAAATTCCTATCTGACTGACTGTAGGACTCTTCCTCTTTGCACTACATCTCTCTGCTAGATGAAGGAGGTCTGGTATTGCAAGGGAGGTTGGATTCACTAATTCTTAGTTTTAATTCTAAAATCTGTGATTGTACGAGAATGTCTGTTCTTTTGTACAAGATGATACCTGCTGATTTCTAGATACTACTAAGCTATAACATATTCTTCATAAGAATACTTCAGTGTCTCTGGGCAATAGATTTATAATTTTAATGGTGACACAAAGATCAACATCAAAAATGTTTTGAGCTAGCTTGTGTAACAGTGCATATTTCTATGATACCTGATGGAAACACAGACGTCAACAGTAGTTTGCCTTTAGGTAGACAACATAAGCTCAGTTTTGGAAATCTTGGATTTGAGGTGGTGTGGTTCATTGAAGTAATATGCCCCACATAAAACTAAAAATGTAGGTCAAGAGCTCAAGAGGGTGTTTAGAATTAGGTAGAAGTTTATGAATTACCTGCAGAGAGGATAATTAAAGAAATGGACTTGAGCCCGGCCGGGCATGGCTCAGCAGTTGAGCATTGACCTAGGATCCAGGCGATCAGGGTTCGATTCCCGGTCAGGGCACATGCCTGGGTTGCAGGCTCAATCCCCAGTCGGGGGCGTGCAGGAGGCAGCCGATCAATGACTCTCTCATCATTGATGTTTCTATCTCTCACCCTCTCCTTTCTCCTCTCTCTGAAATCAATAAAGATATATTTAAAAAAAAAAAAGATTAAATGCTTCCCTTTAAAAAAAAAAAAAAAGGACTTGAATGTAACTTGCAACAGGGCAAGATTAGAAAGAAGATGACTGAGGACATACTCATGATTTCCAAATTTTGAAACACTTAGTATTTCTAAGACTAGAGGAAAAGGAAGAATCTGTGTATGTCTAGATATAGAAGGAGATTAGCACCAGGTGAAGATATATTTCTCTTCAAGAGGCTCAATTCTTGAGAGAAAAAAAGCAGTTTAAGAGCTAAATATTTTTCAAGTTGAATAATAATGAAGGAGGCCTAGTTCATAAAAGAAGAGAGATTAATGAGAAGGACTTGAGAAAATCAAATATTTTTAAGCCCAGAGTATTTAAGTAGTACAAGCTAAGAGAAGAAAAAAGACTTTGACTAATGATAGAATTTTTAAAAATTCAGTAATTCTCTTTATGTTCTCACCTAAATTTAGATTGGAAACTAAAATAAACGAAAGGGGAAATATATGGGAAATAACTAGGAAGGGAAAAGTACTACCCTTATTCCAGCCTTAAGCAGTCCCCAAAGTTAGAACTAGAAACATAAAGATAATTTTTCTATGAACTTTGTGCAGTGAGTGTGGCAGCCTATTGAAGAGGTAGTGGTATCTTAGCTCCTTATACTTAGCATTTAACTTTTTTTATTGGGTTCTTTATGCCCCTTACCCCACAAGATTTATGTTAAATTTTTTCAGATTTTCTGCTTGTAGTATGTTTATTGGTTTATCAGTATGTTAATATAATTATGTCTTCACCATAAAGATTTCCCAAATCATGGCCATATATTTTTTTCCAGTCTGTTTGATGGCTTTGCGGATGGACTAGGAGTTGCTGAAGCTATTTCTTATGTGGATCCTCAGTTCCTCACCTACATGGCACTAGAAGAACGCTTAGCCCAGGCTATGGAGGTATTTCAGTGACTCTGATGCCCATGTCTAAGTTGGTGGGGTGCAAAATGAGAAAAATTAAAGGTTTTTTTTTAACTGCTCTTAAGAAAAGGTGAATAATTTCCTCATCAATTTAATAACAGTTACTGAATACTGATTGCCACCAGTGTGTGTATATAAATTACACTCAACATCCTGCCAATTTCCCTAAAATTGGTTTCCCAGTTTTTACTACAGAATGGAAAATGTTTTGCTTACATTTAGAATATACACTTTTCCTCTATTGAGTTATATGGGTCTGTGAATCTGAAAATTTTATACACACATGCACAGGTATAGTTTTGAAATTAAATTAAAGGTCTCTGAGGATATATTACAAAACACTTCCCATTTTTTGTTCTCATGGATTCTAAATACTATGTTGCTGCTTAATGCAGTTAGAAAATTTACTCCCCCTCATCCCACATACATACACACTTTAATAAATGTTGCACATTTGGTTTTTAAGTTTGTCTTGCCATGTTTATTTAATCATTTTGAAAAATGAAGCTAAAGTCATGTATAATTTATGATTTTTTTCCTTTTAGATTTAACACTAACATTCTTTAAATGAAACAAAAACAAATAATGTGACAAGCCATGCTTTTATTTGTTTTTTTCTCAGGCAGCCCTAACTCTTTTTGGTAGTAGTTTTCATTTCTGTTATTTTTTCAGTACTAGACTGATCTTTCTTTTCAGGTAGTGGCTGTTGTGAAAATAGTGGCAATAAACATTTGCCTTATAGCTGTGTCTCAAATTTGAATCAGAGTAGGACAAAATAGTTCAGATTTTTAACTGTTTGAAACAATATTGAAGCTTATTATTTGCTTCCAAACAAACTTTGGGGGAAAAGTGTCCCTTTGTACATTTATATTGACATCTAAAAATTTTTAGCATAAATTCTAAGCAATATTGTCCACTCTGTCATATCCCTTTGCAATAAAAATATGTTCAGGAATTTAAATGTAAAAAATAAATGGAGTTAAAATTGTTAGTAGTATTGATAAAAAACAAATGTTTTTTCATCTAAAATTTGTTTTTTATATTAAATTTTTTGGTTAATAAGGTTATATAGGTTTCAAGTATACAATTCTATGATATGTTATCTGTATATTGCATATGTTAATTTTGATAAATAATTAAACATAAAGTAAAATTTTACTGGTATAATGCATCTTAATGAAATGGAGGCTTTTTTTCTTCCTAATTATTTTATGAGTAAATTTTATTTATTCAGCCTCAATTTTCTTTTTTTCTTTTTTATGAATGTAAGCTTGAGAAACTTTGTTCGCGTAAATTGATAGGGATGGAAGGAATTTATCATAGCCTTTTCAGTCAAGTTTTCTGAGATATTTGTGAAAATTACATCAACTTGACAAGTTGTTTAGATCCTCCTTCAATTTTTTTGAAAGCAGAGGATTAGAAACCATCTATAGAGATTTGTTATTCAATCCTTAGAGTTCAGTTTGACCGAAGTATTTCTGATTTCTCCTTTGGATGGGTAAGAAGTATGCTTTTATTTATAAAGTGAGGGAAAAGTTAGTATAAAGAGGAATGATAGAACAGATCAGCACGTTACTTTAACTGCAGATGCATTCTTAGGCAGCTCAGTTTGAGGAGAGATTACATAAGAAAGTTCATTGAAATTGAGTCTCTTAAGACCCTGCTTGCCCTTGGACCCCTTGGAAAGTCTTTACATATTTAACAGAGCACCTCATATACATTGAGTTGTAGGCCTTAGGAAGGTAATGCATGAGGTAAGAGCATGGGCTTTTGAGTTAGATTCATTTAGGTTATGTGACCTTGGACAGGTCACTTAACCTTTTTTAGCTTCTGGTCCTCGTCTACAAAATGGGAATAAAATTTACTTCATGGGTTATTGTGAGATTGTGTTTAAGCACTCAGCAAGAATACCTGGTGCAGTGGCTACATTCTCAGTAAATGGCTGTATTTAAAGATACATTCAAATCAATAGTCAACCAGCTGGTGGTACTCATCTTGCATATCTGGATTTAGTGGTCATTATTAAATCATTTGTTATAAATCTCCATTCTTTAAAAACTAAATTGTTTTACTCTTTAGAAATTAAATTTTGTGCTGATAAAGGATTGCTTTAATCCTAGATGTATTCCAGTTAGGCTGTTTAAGCTATGTAGTTTTTCTAACACTAGGACTAGCTTTTGAAAATATTTTATACTTCCTCAGATGTAGATAGATTTTTACATCTTTATAGATTTCCATAGCAGTGGCTATAAAATGTTTTCTCTTGCTCTTGTTTTTTATAAGTGATCCCAGATTACCGTAAATATGTGTCAGTACCAAGGCAATACATTATTTCTACTATATGAAATTCCAGGTATTTATTAGCACTGCAAATGTGTAAATAATCATCAGAAAGGAATAATGAGCCCATTGAGACAAACATGTATCAAAGCATAGTTAGCCTGGAATGACCTCCCAAAATGGAACTTACTATAAAGAGTATTCCTTCTTTTTGCTCATGTGTAACACAGATGAGTTCTTGCAGAGTCTGTCTTGAGAAGTACATAAGGAATTGGAGGAGTTTCATACTTGTAGTTATGTGAGAAAGAAGGGACAATTAACAGGCTCTTTCCATTTTTTATCTCTTGATGGAAAAGTTTAATATAAAGAATTATTAACTATAACAGGGGATTAGAGTAACAAGAGATTGATTAGTAAGGAATAAAGATAATTCTAAAGAATATAGAAAAACCATGTATAAGGAGGAGCCAGTACCTGTAGAGCAAAGATCACCTAAGGAAGGGTCACCACTTCACTCCAGGGCTGGGATCCGACCTTGATGCAGATGGCACAGCTGTGGTTTAATGAATGGCAGAGAAGTCACTGGTGCTGTGCAGGCAGAACTTAGGGAAATCAGCCCTGTAGGGTGCTAGGGAAAGCTATTCATAGGAAGATATCTAACTGGAAGCACTCTGCTACAGAATTGTCCAGGGGATGCTGGGGGAATCTACCTGCCCCTGGGTGCTTCTGGCCACATGCATCACCAGAGCTAGACGCCAGAGAAGCTGTGCACATTGCAGGAGTCTGGTGCTAAAGAAGCCATACCTGCCACAGAAGCCTGCCAAGCAAGCACCCTGGGATCAGAATCAAAGCCCTTTTCCTCTTATAGTGTCTCCTCAGTGTCCTCTGTGAAAAAGCTTAACAACATGACAGGTGTCAGAGGGGAAGATATTTAAATGGCCCACATCCATTTTCACAGAGCTAACAAAAATAGTGAATTTGGATCTGAGGAACAATAATGGGTAACTGAAACAGTCATCCCTTTCACTACTTGGATTCCATATATACCTTTCTGTACACATATGAACTCCCATCCAACAACAGAGCTACTATATTCCTACCTAACAAGGTATAGTTATTCTTACAAATGGAGTGTGCACCCTGTCCCCAGAATGAACAGATGAACAGTTCCAAGAGTCGTTGTATTTATCGCTGACATTATTAATTCACAAATTCAGTTGGCCATACTAAATATTCTTGTATATGAAGATCAAATTATAGAGTTAACTGCTATATGAAATAAAAATGGGAAGGAGAGAGTTAAAGAAAATAGCAGATACAAATACATATAACAAGCAAACAGAAAATGTGCAAAGCTATGACTTGTTTCTGTGTTTGGTCACAGGCTGTAATTGATAGCTATGATTTTCTTCTGGCATAACCTGTTCTACATTTTCCCTGCCTTCAGCAAGAATCTCAGCTGATTAGGACTCTTTACTTCCTGAAGTTACTCAAACCTAGACTCCTGAAGAGTCTGTGTCCTCAATTATCCTGCCCCTTTTGGCTGCTGTAGTCTTCTGATTAGTTTACTGTGGGTCATAGAAGTACTAAGAGATATACACTTCAAGTGAGATTATCACAGAATTTTCAAGTAGAGGAAGGCTAGTCTGTGGAGGGTAAGAGACTTCTACTGGTAAAAGGAGACTCAGTGACTTGGGGTTTCAAAATACAGTTGACCCTCGAATAACATGGGTTTGAACTTATATGTGGATTTTTTTATCTTATAAACAGATGAAATAAACTTACGGTATCAATAATAGTACAGTACTTGTAAATGACTTTTCCTTATGGGTTTCTGAATAACATTTTCTTTTTTCTAGCTTTATTGTAAGAATACAGTATGTAATACATACACAAAATATGTGTTTATTGACTGTTTCTGTTGCCAGTGAGGCTTCCAGTCAGCAGTAGGTTATTAGTAGTTAACACCTGCATTGTTCAAGTGTCAACTGTAGTCAGTTTCATCTGAGTACAGCCAGATGTCCCCATTCTTACTGAGTTTCAGAATTGTGGCCTTTAACCTATCAATGATAACAATTTTGAAAAACTTGACAAGACTGAGAATTAAGTTCTCATTTTAATTCAGCAGTTTACTAATTAAATCATAGGTCTAATTTTCAGAAATGAGGAATTTTATTAGGGCTGTCATGAACACACTCTGGTTCTCATACTGTGCTTCCCTCTTAGAGTTAATAGGCCTGCGTTTGTGTCATTTTCTCTTTGTAAGTGTGCAAGGGCACTCCAAGGATCCATCTCACATGACTATTTTTATAGCCATTACTTCCATAAGGTCAAGTATAGCAGCCAGCCCCTGGGCTCCCAAGACACACGGGGTAGTTGGCATTGCATTGCAGTCAACCATAGTGATAGTTTGATTAATTGCGATGCCACTGCAGACCATGGGTTGATAGCATCCCTTTCCTATTGGCAAGGAGCTCAGCACTGAGCTCAAGCCCAGAGGCCTAACCAAACTAATCCCTGTATCCCATTCTTTCTTCATGGGACCATGCCTGATACCAAGTCCATATCAGCCTGGGCTCAATCATGAGAGAAAAGGTAATTTGAACAGGGTAAGCTTAATATAAAAAATTCTCAACTATAACAGGAGATTAGAGTAACAAGGGATTGGCTACTGGGAAATAAAGTGAACTGTAAAGAATATAGGAATAACAGATTTAAGGAATCCCCTAAGACTGAGCGAGCACTCCACCTCCCCACCCCCTGGGGCTGAGATCCAGACTGTTGGGAAGGACACAGCCATGGTGGCTCTGAGGGAAGTGCTTGTGCTGCTGTGCTGGCAGAACTTGGTGGAAATCTGCCCTCTGGAACATGGCAAAAATCTGCCTTTGGAGTGCTGCAGACACTGTTCTTAGGGAGGTAACTAACTGGGAGCACTCTGCTACAAAACCACCTAAGATGGGCGTCACAGGAAGCTGCTAGCCACCTTATACTGCAACTGTCAGGCCCTGGAGAAACTGCATGTGCCTCTGGAGGCAGGTGCTGGAGGAGGAGCCTGGTGCTGGAAAAGCCATCTGTGCTGTAAACCCACAATAGGGAAGCCTAGGTACCACTGTGGGGGAGCCTGCCCAGCACACCCACTAGAACCAGAAAGCAAAGCCCTTTCTTTCTGTGATGTCTCTCTAGCACCCTCTGCTGACAAAGCCTAAGATCATGCTACGTGACAAAGGAAAAATCTTTAGAAGGCCCAGATCTATTTTCACAGAGCAGAAATGAAAGGTGAATTTGGAACTAAGAGGCAATAATTTGATTACGTGCACACTAATTTTCTTATCGCAATATCTCTGCAAATCCAGAGTCAAGTTTGGTGTTTAGTATTATTAACTATATTTATTAACTCTCATTGGTGAACCTTTTTTGCTTTCTCCTCTTTTAGTCCTGACTTTGTTTTGGCCTTGGCCCTATCCTCTATTGTAACTCATCTCAAATACTTTTTGGAAAGGCATGAGTCATTGCTAAAATGTCTAGGCTAGATCCTGAGTATACCAAAGATTGTCTATGAGAACATAGTACTATCATGCAGAATCCTTCTCCTACCTGTTTGTGGATATTTGTATTGTGGTAATGCACACATACCATAAAATTTACCATTAAGTATGTAGTTAAGTGGCATTAAGTATATTATAAATGATAATTCCTCATTCCCTTCTCTCCCTAGCCTGTAGCAACCATCATTCTACTGTCTCTGATGTAGATTTTTGCTTTGTACTTATTATACAGCTTACCTAAAACTTAACAGTCTGTGTTATGCTGATAACATCTATTGCATACAAAATCTCTACCCTTTTAGTTCCCCTTTTATATTTTTGATATCACAATTTACCTATTTTTATGTTGTGTATTCTTATTGTAGGCCTGGTTATTTTAGTACTCTTGTCCTTAAACTTTATACTTGAGTAAAGTGGTTATATGCCATCATATTGTAGTATCAGACTATTCTGAATTTTACTGTATACTTTCCATTGCCAACCACATTTATTTATTTATTCATCTATCAATAGATACTTGGGTTGTTTCCACCTTTTGGGACTTGTGTATATAAGTCCTACTTGAAGTTCTAATCTGATTATAGCCAGAAAGGTAAATCAGTTCATAAAAGGATGAGGGTGCCTTGTACTAGATGATCATATGATCTAATATTCTTTCCTTCCTTGTTAGAATAGTAACTTTATACAAACTTTTGAACCCCTAAATAAAGTCTGCAACCCAGATAACCTAGTAATACTAGTGAGCTAGTGATGTGGGTGTGCTAACTCTGTGATAGTGCTGTTCAGGAATGCATTATTTGGTTCCATACCTTGAACATCTATTAACTGTGGCCACATTTTATCTTTTATGAGTCAAACCTATTCAAAATGTTTACATTTTGTATAGTATTGATCCCATACAGGAACTCATAAGTTGGATGAGGTAAACCACTCTTCTGAAAATATAAATAGGATGGGCAGATAGATGGTTATTGAGACAAGACAGATTTTTGTTATACTTGTGAAAAATAGGGGTTTTTGTTTTGGTATGTTTTTGATGTTTTGGTTTGATGGTGGTGATGATGGATGGATCCTTTGAGAGGAGGCAAAAAGGGCAGGGGACTGAAGCAAAAGAAACTAACAGTATGAGACTGATGATGGATATAATTTTGGAAGATGCCTTAAAAATAGTTTTCTATTACTGTTTTAAATTGTTTCTTAACAAAGAACTGTGACTTTTATTTTTCAGACTGCCCTGGCACATTTAGAGTCTCTTGCAGTAGATGTGGAGGTGGCCAATCCACCAGCCAGTAAGGAAAGCATTGATGGTCTTCCAGAGACACTTGTTCTTGAGGATCACACTGGTAAGGGCAGAGTCGATCCCTGATGTTGAAGGGCACATTGCATATTTAAGTATGTGATCAGTGCACCTGGAGGGTAAAGCACTATTCGGAACTGTCATTAGGTTTTCTATTCCCACAACCTTTTACCTAGTGGAAGAAGATTTTTAATTTATTCGGTGATAGGTTGGGACAAATACGCCCTAGTCAACTTTCTACAAAAACAATATTTGTTAAATTTCAAATTGTCATGCATTAGAAACATGTTTCACAATTTATTGATCAAAGCATTTGTCTTTCACAGGTATCATCTATGAGTTCATATGTTGATTTTCAGTTTTATTAAAATTGAACTTTATTGGATTAATATATCTAATTGCTTGTTGTTTCAGCTATTGGTCAGGAGCAGTGCTGTCCAATCTGTTGCAGTGAGTATATTAAGGATGATATAGCGACAGAGTTACCCTGCCACCATTTCTTTCACAAACCTTGTGTCTCAATTTGGCTGCAGAAGGTGAGTTTTAGATTTACTTCTTTTAAGTTAATATTTTAATAGTTTTCTCCTACAAGTTAATGATGATGGTAGTATCTTCTAATCCTATTTATTTAACTACATACTTGTAGAACTTTGAGTTCAGTTTAACTCAATTTAATTAAAATTGGTTACCTTTTAATAACTACAGATTAATGATAATATCAAACTATTTTACTTTATTAACATTGTCTAAAAAACAATATAGACAACATGAACTACTAAAAATATTTAATCACATCCCAGAAATTAGGTGTTTTCGGAAGTATCTCAAGCAAAGGAGTTTTTGGCACTACCCAGAGTACTGTAGCAATATACTGATATTCTGCTAATATGTATCAGTGTCTCTGCAAATGTATATGAGAAATGTTTAATAACCTACTAACTGCCTATTCAAATTTTTATATGCTGCCCTTAAATATTTATCCCAATATTTTAAGTATATTTAAATTATATACTTAAATAAAAAATTAGAGTTTTACTTAAATCTCTATTAACTCTTATTTTTGCATAAAGGATATTTACAGTTCAGTGGAAATTCCCAAATCACTTTCCCAGCTTATTCACTTACAGATATAACTCCCTCTCTTCCCTACAGCCTCTTCCTCCCTTTACCTTCTTTTTCTCCCTCTCCTCCCCTTCCTCTCTCCTTTCTTTTTTTTTTTAAATATATCTTTATTGACTTCAGAGAGGAAAGGAGAGGGAGAGAGAGAGCTAGAAACATCAATGATGAGAGTCATTGATCGAACCCACAACCCGGGCATGTGCCTTGACCAGGAATCGAACCCTGATCGCCTGGATCCTAGGTCGACGCTTAACCGCTGAGCCACGCCCGGCCGGGCTCTCCTTTCTTTTTCTTTGCTGTTGCTCCCCTTTTACTGCTACTTCATCATCATAACTCTAATAGCCAATGCATAAATTTTCACCATTCTTTTATAAATTTTAAAGTTTCTGTCTTGGCTTTTAAGGCCTTCTGTGATCTAGCGCCCAGCCTGTCTCTTGAGATTTACTTCTGTACATTTGCCCATATTGGCTTAGCTTGGTGTGGTCTTCCCCTATACCTGCAAGATTAGATGGTCCTGCTTAAATTCCACCTTTTCTTTAAACGTCTATGGTAGTATCAAAGCCTTAGTAAGGATCTAGTGTTTTGTGTGTCAGGCACTGCTAGATGATTCATGTGTATTGTCCCATTTATTCCTCACAGCTCTTGAATTGTAAACATTATATATGTTGTACAGCCATAAATTGTCATTGGCTTGTCTCTAACCCAAGGCAGTAATGTGGTAGTCTCTTTCCTGTCAGGAAACAGCTTAGTGTGAAGCCTTTCCTCTAAGGAGAAGGTTCCCAAAATATGTGTCTTTGTCACCTTTAAAAGCATGATTTCTTCAACCTGCTTTCTATCAGGGATTTTGCTTTGGGAAAAAGACCAGTCTTACAAAAGAATAATCTATCACCAGATGACATACTTCTGGAATCTTTTGTTCCTAAAATGTTATGCTCCCAGTATAACTGCTTTCCCTGTCCCACCGTCTCTGCCAGGTCTGAGGTTGATTTGTCCTATCATTTAGAAAGCACCTAACTCTCCACATCTTTTTGAAAACAGATTACATGGTCTGTAAAGAAGGTCTGAGACCAATCTGCTTTGACAGATCTGTGTACACCAAAGTGAGCTTTTAGTATTTCTGTGAGGCTCTAGCGGGATGATTACGTATAATAGATATGTGAATTAATTAAGTCTGTGGTTTCTGTAATATTATATGTATCATAGATTTAATAATAATAATAAAAATAAAGTTTAGGTGAGGACATGCCCTGTGATTCATTGCTCACTCTACAGCAGCACCAGTGCCAACCAGGAGTGTAGTGTACTCTCAGTGAATACTCATTAAATGAAAGATGAGTGGCCTAAAAGATGCAGACATGACTAAGAGACACTGTTTACCCTCAAATGAATCAGTATGTGATTGGTATGAAAAGGAGGAAATGGCATCAAAAATCTGCCTCTCTGTGTTCTGTAGGTTTGACGTTTATTTGGTATTTATTTGTTTTGTTTTTAGGGAAATGGTGCTGTTTTGTCTTTCTTATGATGCTTGTATGGCAGTTAAGACTTTGTCATTGGCTATGAACTTGTTTTCTTCTCCCTCCAGTCAGGAACATGCCCTGTGTGCCGCCGTCATTTCCCACCTGCAGTTATTGAAGCATCTGCAGCTGCTTCCTCTGAGCCTGGACACGATGCCCCACCTTCAAATGGCAGTACTGCAGAAGCTCCTTAAACCTTAACACTTGAATGAGATCATTCTATAAAGTAAATCTGCAAATTCCTTCTAAACCTGATGTGCAAATAATTATATATAAATATATTAAAATGATATATATAGTCTATGCCATAGTTTAGAAAGAATATTGACCTTTCTAAACTAAATTTAGGTTTGCAGAAAGTACTAACATTTTCAAGCTGAATGTTGAAGCAGTACATCCATTTTTTTTAGTTGAAGATGTTGATATTAATTGTGAAAGTCAAGCTTGTCACTTAATTCTCTCCAGAAGAAATGATCGTCTATGTGGCACGCGCTACTGGTTTTGTCTGAAGTACTGCCACTAAGTGATTATGATTAGCTCTCCTTTTTGCATCAAATGTGAAGACTATAATCACAACAGTAGTAAAATTTGGTTCCATTGGAAATAAAAAGAATTCTAAAGCATGCTCTTTCATTGGTCCCTTTGCTTTTACTACATCACAACCTCTTGATTTATAGTAGTGTTTTTTTTAGGAAGGTGTCCAGTCTTCCATCTTGGTTTAAAATTAGGACTTTTTAAGAATGTCAAACAAAGGCTAAAATTCTAGCTAGAGCATCATAGAATTTCAAAATCTTCAATGTACCCCCTAGAAATGGTTAGGTAGTGAAATAGATTATTTTTTTTTTTAATGTTGGATGTGCTTAAAGTAAGGTTAGTAAAGCAGCATATGAACAATCTAGTGTGCTCAGCACTTGGTACAATGAGATGAATTAGATGGCCTTATAGAAACCTTTCTACTTGGTTAAAATTGTACTTGAAAGTCCAGAACACTCATGGCACATTTGTTTAATAACTGTTAGGTATAGTTAGTTTAAGGTAATTTTGGTTCTGAAATATTTTGGAAAGTCTGAAAACATGCATAAAGTGTTTTTAACACTCATTCTGTTGTATCCTAAAGGAAAATCTGAATCCTTAAAATACTGTGTTAACTCTTCTGACTTGTGCAAAGCATAAAATTGATGGGTATAGGACAGATTTGGCCATACCTTTTTACAACATATTTAAAACTTTACCGTGCTATAATTTATTTCTTTAAAGTATTCCTGAAAAAAGATTATTTATATTACATTATCAGTATTTGTTTCTTTACACTAATTTATTTTGGTAAAATTAGTCACCTGGAACTAAAATAAAAATAGGTAGTTTCAAATTAAGCCAAATTAAGCCATGACTGAAAAGGGAATAGATTATATGATTGCCTAGTGACTGTGTGAACAGAAGTTAACATGTAACACAGCTTCTTTCTTATTTTCCTTTGTTTAAAGGAGAAAAGAAGATCCTGACCTCAGATTTACTCTCTAAAAGAGTTTTCTGTTCAAAAGCTTCTACAAAAGTAAGGAAGTCAGCTTTCCGTATTCTTTTTATGGGAAATTGACCTACAAGCCCACACCTTTGCAATTACATAACCCCAGCGAAGACTGCACAGCTTTCTGTTTAGGTGATCTCACCCAGTAGGCAATTATGTATAAACATGGACACAATATATAACTTAGGGATATGATTCGATATCAAATACCAGAGAATGATTAATGGCTGTTAGAATACCACATTTGAGCAAGTAAAATAGTAAAGCACATAGTATACATCCATTTGAGTAGTACATTGATAATTTAGTTTGGACATATAAAAGGAATATTTATGTGACTTCCCAAATGCAAAATTACATTCATTTGTGTAATTTCTCTGAGTATTTATATTCCGTCTCTTTTCTTCATTCTTAAAATTAAGTGAATTTTCACTGTTGTCGCATTTGAGGCTTAAATATAAGGAACATAACACTTGCATTCTAATTTTTGCATATATTGTAAATGTGTCTGGTATTTACAGCAAAATACTGTGTATCCTTTTATGAGTAAACTGAACATTGCATGCATGTAATGTGGTGACTTTGTAATTTAGGGGTTCTTTGGGGCTTCTGTGACTTTGGAAATGCTTACATTCAGGCCTTAATGTTGCATTAGCTAGCATGTTTTCCTTCTGATGTATATAGTCTCTGTTGTATAAACTAATCTTTGCTTGTTTTCTACTCTGTGAACTTTCCATACCATATTTCATTGATGATCAGTTAGTGTCAAGGAGTCAAATCAGATTAAAATTAATTCTCATGTGTATATTGTGAAAATTTGTAGCTAGTATAATTTTATTTGGTTTTTTGTTTCCAGAAATTTGTGGCTCTAGTGTGTTTTTTGTTGTTTCCTTTAAGTAATATTGATCAGTTGTGACACTTACTGGTTAAACTGACATCACTACAGATTTTTCTGTAATAATCCACACATTATATTTAGGCAGTATTATGGGACCTTGGTTTTCTTCTCCTAGATAGCAGCTGTCCCAAAGAAAATATTTCTTCTTTGCCTGTTAAGATTTAGCTGTTATCTGCCAGTTGTTATGAGGTTTTGTTCCAAACTCTACCAGCAGTGTTGAGAGCTGAACTCAAGATAGCTGTTGTACTTTTTGCTTTCCATCTGTTTCTGTCCTTCATTCTTGGCTCCCTATTATCTATAAACAGCTGCTATGAAGGAGGAAAGTTGAATAAGAGTTGGCTTATAAAAATTTTTAAAAAGAAAATTGAGGTTTTAGGATTTTCATTATAGCATGCTGATAAAAGCTGAGGTTGACAAGTTCAGACACCAAAATATTGTTGAATCAGATCTTGGATCCTTTTGAAAAAGTTAAGACTATATGAAGGTAAATTAGAAATAAGTATAAATAATAAAAATGTTGTTTTCCTTCTCTATTATATGTTAAGTGACTTGACCTAATAATTTTATTTTTTTAAACATTTCCTTTTTTCTTATAAATGCTGATATTTAAAGGTAGATCCATGTGGTTTTCTTTTGTGTTTCTTAATTGTTTATCTCTAAGCTAACTAACTCTTAAAGATTATTTGTGATCTGGATTTATATATAAGCTGTTAAATATATATGAACTGTTTGTTAAAATGGAATGCAAGTTTTTCAAAGCCCTGGTCTAAATGTAATGATTGGTTTATTGTTCTACAACTCCAGTCTATCATTTTCCGTGTAAATCATAAACAATAAACAGGATATACTCAGTGGTCATTTCTAATATTTAATTGTGTAGCCGTATCACTTCTATAACGTAACCCTGGAGGATTTAGTATTAGTGGCAAAGGATACAACTTGTCGCAGAAGTCTGGGACTGGCTCCAGAGCACATGCTTTTATAGTCTTTGATCTGTGCTCTAAGAAGGCCCAGGCAAAGAGCTCAGCTGCATAGAAGCACTTGGTGGGCTTCCTTCTAGAAGGGCTCTGGAAGAGCAGTGTCTGCTCTCTCCTGCCCAACCGCCATAGCAGTCCTGTGTGTTCAGCAGAGCCCGGCTTCCACGCTAACTCAAGTTGCAGAAACCCTCAGTGCCGGGATGGATGCCCGCCTCACTTCAGTGGCTTCTCCAAATCAGGTGTGCCAATATTGTCAAATATACCTGTTTAGGAAGATTCCTCATGGTTTCCAAAAGGTTCAAAAACCTCACCATTTCAGAAGGGTAAACTGAGAACAAGTATGCCTGCATTAAATTAGAAAACTGTCATCATTTTGTTGAGAAGCTTTGGAAAGTCTATAATTCTGATTCTCCCTTAATAGAATAAACATTTGTTAGAAAAATACAGTCCCAGAGCTAGAAACAGCAATGGTACACGTCATTTTAGTGCCAAAATCTATATATAATTATGTCATATGATTTTTATGAAGCCACTGCTTCCAGAGTTGGTGTCACTCAGCAACCCTACAAGGGATGAATTTCATTGTTAGAATTGTCACCCAAATGCTTTTATAAATAGCACACATGTGAAACTACATAGAAAGGTCCTGTCTTGTGTGTGTTGCCATCTCTTTATATCTTCCGTCAGACTTCACACTTTTCTCAGATCTTGCGTGATACCTATTCCAGACCAGTCTGGCATTGGCTCTTTCAATCCCCCTCTTAAAATATGGTGCTCAGAACTAAACACGGGTCCTCTGGTCTGACTAAAGGAGGGTCCAGAAGCATTACTGCCAGCTCAGACTGATTCTCCTGTGACTGGTCTGTTTTGGTATTATCATTACTGTCATTATTGGGCAAGCATATCACAATGTTGTCTCTCACTGAACTTCACAGGCATTGCTAGTAACTCAGGTCCACTCCTAATAATGACCTAATTCATCTTGACAAAGTTTAACTTGTAAAGACCCTTATGACCTCTGATTCTTCCTCTTAGCCTGTGTCAGTTCCAGTTTTGATGAAGCATGCCTTTGTATTTGGTGGCATTGTCCAAGTTATTGATAAATATTGACTAGAACAGGGTGAAATACAGACCCTCTTCAGAATGCCACTATAGACTGCCCTCTACGTGACTTTGATCCATTAATCAGTACTTTGGACATGGTTGTGGAAGCAACTACCAGTGACATGCTCATGTTTCTTCATCTTTCCTAAAAGGACACTATAAGAAATTTTGTCTTGTTTGTCCAACAGGCAGATTACACTATATGGAAATAGCCTTTCCTGCTAGTATATTAAATCAAGAAAGGAAATGTAGTGGGAAATGCCTCATTCTTAGTGAAACCATGCTGCCTCCTTTTCTAAGTGCTCACATACCATCTGTTTATTAACCTGCCCTAGAATTTTATGTGATCAGTGTCAAGCTCATTTTTATTATTTTTGGAGTCTACCTTTTCCCCCTCAAAAATGTAGTATTTGAAGTAACATGACCTTGACAAGTCACTTAATTTCTCTACTTCTGTTTTCTCTGTAAAGTAACATCTAAATTACAGGTTTAGTACTCTTTGCGCCTGGATAAAGTTTTAAAAAAAGTGTTCTTTGTTGATGTGCAAAGTCATGGGGAAATATGGTTGCCTCCTTCCTTGATTGATTTTAGCACTATCTTTAGGGTTCATAAACATTTCAGATGAAAACTAAAAAAACATCTTAGTCCCTTCGCAGGAGTTTAAAGAATTTGACAGGGGAACTTTATTAAATCCAAATAAATACAATTTAATTAATAGTAATTTTGCTAAAAGGCTACATGCCTGGATGTGGCAGTTTATTTTATCTTGGATTCTTAGGTTGTAATGAGTGTACAGTTTTTATAGTGGGAAGTGGAAGGGGGAGGTCTTTGTGTCTTTATCTTTCTTCAGAAAGGTAATACCTCTTAACCATTCACTGTAAGAGAAGTTCTCCACGAAGTTCTCATTCTTATCCTTTGATTATAACACAATATGTCTTCTTAATAAGATTCATTGAAAAGATGTATTTTTGCATTATAAGAATAGTTCTCATTTATTAAGTTTTTTGAGATACAGTCTGAGCTTTTAAAATGGGGAGAGGGGAGTGGAAGGAGTGTCTGTTCAAAATTCTGAAAAAATGTTTTGTTCGTTTCTCCTTGTTTGGCTAAATTGCTATAAAGAGACATGTTTGCTTTAAGTAATGTACCCCTGATCAAAGTTCTAACGACCTGGGGAGTGAAATTTCTTAGTCACCATTAAGATCGCATGAGAACTACTTTTGCCTGATGATTTGGAATCCTTAAATTATTTTGCAGATACTGTCTGCGGCCTGATAGGTGTATGACATCTTGACCTCACACAGACACCTGTCTGTAAGCAACAGTTGCTAACCTTTTCTAAAGTATCAGCCACTCCAAAGAGGAGAGGACCTCCCCCCACATTGTTTCATCAGCAGGAATAGAACTTTGACAGGGCTTCCTTTTCATTGAAGCTGTGCTCTACTTCTGTTAAAAGAACCCACACATTACAGGCAGCTGTTAGAAGGGGCTTCACTACGTAACGTCATACTGACTGGCCTTTGAAGCCCCACCAGACAGTTCCTCCTCTTGGCCTGGACCCAGGATCCTTCAGCCCTGGCACTGCAGTACCCTAGGTTTGGTACCATTACAAAAGATCAGAGTTTTTATTTTAGTTTAAATTAGCTTTTAGGGCAGAT